GTGCGCTCGAGTCTAGTTCCTGTATATCCCATAAATCAATGTGGGGTCAAACAGGATAAGGAGAAAGCTAGCAACAGCAATCATATCATCCATGCGTTGCCGCGTCACACGCGGAAATCCAAACGATGGAGCATACTCCATGCACAAAGGGCAGAGGTCGAAACTGTAAGGATGTAGAAAGGATTGCTGGATCCTGGGCTGGACCCTAATGAGATCGATGGAGCGATGTTGTCGATGGATTAGGAGGGTCCTTGAATGGGAAACGTCCACACGTCCGGACGTTGGAGTTTGCATCGCGAACGTGGACGTGGAGAAGGACTTCATGGAGGCTACAGAGGAGAGTTTGTGCCAAGTTATTAAAAGTGCAGCCTAACATCATTCTTCAGCTTGACCTTTTGGAAATTGAGTACAGGCATCTTGAATGGAAACCGGCGACAGGAAGGCTGGCTTCGTTTCACTGCAACAGAAGCTGGTTTAATCACGAGATACGATGATGCACGGATGTGGCCGTCGCGCAATGGGATTTCGTCTGTTGATGACGACTCTCGCACAAAGGAGCGCATATGTTGTCTTTTATTTGACAACGACACTCGGCTTGAGAGCACTGACCAGAAATCAGAAGTGGGCTCGTGACACTTTGTCAACCTAAACGTATGTTGTGAACGGTACGGATGAAGAGAATGGTAAGCTCAAACACTCACCGATCCTAACAAGTGTTTGAGATAGGAAAGAAGAGAGTTTGGTTGTGAGACGACAAAGGCAGAAAGTGAACGGAGGAAGAAAATAGGACATGTAACCCTGGAATAAATTTTGCCACCGCCAGGAAGTTGAGGAGGGTAGGCGAAACTCACTGGCGCGGGAGGCACCGGAGACACAGAATATAGTAATTATCGGTTTAGGCCTGAAGACGCTAATTTCTTCCAGAGGGATAGCTCTTCAGGAAACTCCAATTCCAAGGCCACGAGGCAAGAAACAAGAACGCATCCTAGGGCCTTGGATTGCGGTTGAGGGATCGCAAAGACAACGCCCGTTCATCGTCACTTTTTCTGATTTGGTTACGCCTTCCGGAAACAGGTGGTTGAACTTTCGCTGGTTCCTCTTTCTCTTCAAAATCTCCCTCTCTCTTTCTCACGAACCTCGTAAGGTAAAACATGTTCGCAGCCGTGATATCTTTTCATGACTTCGGCAGCTCCCTCCATACTGGTCGCACATTTCCTTTGATTCTGTGCCGATATCAGCCACGTGGCCGTCATGTCGCTCGCTTTTGACTCTAAGTCGAAATGACTGTGTTCTTCCACATCGCTCCTCCCCAGCCTCCCAGACTCGCGTCCAGTTGAAGTCACGGTCTCAGGCTCCCCGTGCAAATCTCAATCTTCTCCTCGTTCCACCCTCCATAGAATAAAAAGATCGTTAAAAGTCCTCCATTCATACTTTTCGATCAATCGTCTTCACTCCAACCCACTAGAGCTTTTGCCACCAGCCGATCTCCAAAGAACTAGCGGATGAAATCTGCGAAATCGTCCAACTCCACCAAATTGTACGCGAGATCTATCCGCCTCACTCCTCACGCATTTTTAGTTTGTGGAAGAAATGTGGGCAACTAGTTTCGAATTTTCGTCGGTACGGAGGGAGATGAGATGTTTCAGGTGCGATAGGTCGGGTCGGGTCGGTAGGGTAGAGGTGGTTCCATTAGTCGAGTAGGGGGAGCTGGGCCGAGAGGTCTTTGTAGGAGACATGAGCCTGAGACAGAGATAGGGAGTGGTCGTAGATTGCTGACCGTCTGGCGCTGAGCTTTGTGGGAGAGCGAACCATGGAAGAGGTACCTTTTGAAGTGTTAGATCTGTGAGACCATGCAGCAATTGAAGTCCCGCTGACGCTCAGGCAAGCAGGGAAGTGCGACACGCTGACCACTCTGACGCTCCTACTCATCCTGTGCGCAAAGTCCTCCACCTCGTCCTTGTCCCACTTTCTTGAACCCTGATCTCCAAAGTTAGATCTCCTACCCTCTTCAAGCCTTCAGTCAACACGGCCATGGCTTTCTCTTCGTGCCAAAGTGCATCCAACCACAGCTCTGTAACATTCGGTGAGCCGGCAATAACCTCTTTTGACATCCCAACACCAATATGTCGGTTGAACAACAGCCTCCCGCACAGTCGTCCGCGCCATAACAGAGTTTCAAACCGGCGTGCTTTGTTCCACAGAGTCAGGTACGTGCTGATATCCAACTGAAACAGCCTTCCAGAGCTGCCAGACGTCAGAGACAGAATGGAACGGAGGTCTGTGTCCTCTTCTTCGATTGATGCGATGGATTCGGAGATGACAGACAGAAGCTCCATTGACAAGCAGGAGATACAGCATGGGGCAGCCGCTAGTTTTGGGCGGAGGGACAATTCTTTAATGTCCACAGTGCTCGAATGGAGAGATATTGAGAGGGGTGTCATCATTCGCCATCACTGAGAGGGACGAACCCTCGTTCCTTGCTAGAGTGTGAGGCTATGAGAGCGAAAGATAGCCTGACAACGATTTTCTGGAAGGAGAGGAGATATGCAACTGAAGATCTTGGTCCGTGGTGGCACATGGACAAGTGTCAGTCATTCCCCAACACGTACTGTAACGTATTCCCAGTCAAGGTTGGCGCAAACGTTCGCAACGCTATCCTTTGACAGTGCAGAGGCAGAGGCAATGGGGTAATGTTCACCCACTTAGGGATTGCTTGAAATCCAGGAAAAGTTGAATAGCTGGCGAATATTGAGTCGTTCGAAATCATGATGTTGTCAAAACAAAGGAGGGAAGCGAAGGTACATCCTGTCCACATGAATCAAAATGTGTAGTTTGTCGGACGATGTGACCGCCTACGATGGATCCCTAAAGCATGAACAACATTGAGATTTTGAGTTTCTCACGAACTTAAGACCATGTACTTACAATTTGTCCGACTCTAAAGAATGGTGACCTGGCCACAGTAGAAGGGCTTATTGCTCAGGTAACGGCCCATTCTTTATTTTCCCAACAGTACCTGAGTGTCTAATGAATAAAAGGCTTCATAGAGTTGTTGCTGAATTGAAAGAAGATTTTATCCCAGCTCGTAAGTATAGGTGATCCCGCCGTCAACAACTCCTCAGGGAATTTCATTCCGTGAGAGAGTTTGACCCTCTTCTTTGGAGCGTAATACGAAAATCCCGTCACGTTACTCTTCCGGGTCGTCTCGACACTGCCCCCAACAAATCCCTGCCCCTTTGGCGCTCGACGAACACGCCATCATCGTCCTCCTCGCAATCCAGATCTCCTCCTCAGCCCACTCTCCAAAAAACAAAAGAACACGTAAAATAGATCGGCTCCTCACTTTTCCCCCTTCAGACCTAGATCCATCTTCCATATCCGCATCGTTCTTCTTAGGTTTCTCAGCCCTTCGATCTCCAAAGAACCAATGGATGAAGTCTGGGAAATCGAAAGAGCTCACGAAGCAGTAGGAAATCTCTATCAATTCTATGGACTTAGCGTTTTTGAGAGTACTGAAGAACTCTCGCGAAACTAGGTTTGAAGTGTCCTTTCCACCATCGAGTATGAGCACAGTGAGATGTTGGAGGTGTGATAAGTCAAACGGGGTGGGTAGGATGGAGGTAATTCCATCAGTCGAGAACGGCGCGAGCTCGATATGGAGGTATTCTAGAAGAGGTGGCAGAGGGAAAGCCGAGAGGGATGGAGGGAGGGGGCATAAATTGGAGAGTTTCAAGCGCAGGAGGGTGCGCGGGAGAGAGAGGATCGGTGGAGGCGGATAATTTTCGAGCGTGACCGAAGTGAACCCCAGAGGTAAGTGGAGGCCATTTGACACGGAACGGGCAGAGGAGGAGGAAGAGAGCTCCTCGACTTCGTAAGCAGTGAGCCGTCGGAGCCTTCCACTCGTCCTCCAAGTAAAATCCTCTATCTCCTCCTTCCTCCACTTTCTCGAACCCTTATTGCCAAAGGTCACTTGCTCCAACTTCTTTAAGCTTTCGATTGCCCTCAAAACTATCCTCGCCTCCTGTTCATTCCAAAACGCATCCAGCCACACGTAAGTAACGTTCGGCGAGCCCGTGATGACCTCCTTCACCATCTCTACGCTGATATTTTGTTCAAACTCCAATCCATTCCATAGACGCCCAGCGTGAGGATACACCCTCAAACGAGCATGTTTCCCTTTCGCAGAAGAAGGTGGATTTGAATGAGCAACCGAAACTGCCTCCCAGAGCCGGCAGACTGCATGGAGCCTGGAAGATGCGTGAGAAGAGAAGGGGAAATCTCTATCTTCGTCAAATTTCAAGAAATCGAAGATGATGGAGAGGAGCTCGACGGGTAAGCATGCGATGGAGCAAACCTCTGACAGTGGGGGAAGCGAAAGTTGGATAATGGTTGCAGAGTTCTCACGGAGGGATGAGAGGCATGCCGATTCGTCGTCGCTGATGGGGATAAAGCGCTCTTCTTTCCTGGAATGTAAGGCGATGGGGCGGAAGATAGCCTGAGAGCGAAGCAGAGGAAATGTGCATGTAAAGGGTTCCGCAAAAGTGAAGGTCGATCTGCCCCAGAACCAGAGGAGGTATTCCGGATCAACAGGCTCGGGTTTTTCGATCCCAAAGTTTACCGCGACTGTTTTGAAGTTGAAGGTAACGCGAAGATTCGCTACCCCGTCCTTTTCCAGTGCATTTTCGAGACCTTCAAGTGAGATATGGGACAATTTCGAGGATACTCGTGCAGGGGCATCTTCCTTGAGTCCAAGTGGGAGCGCAAACGTGATGCGTAGGGTGTGAATGGAGGGGGTAGGCTAGATAGAAAAGAGGGAAGAATTGAGAGGTGAAGCGAAGCGATATTTTCCGACGGAGTTATAAAATTGACTATTGCGGTCGAGTCTCGCTCGTAAATAGCTTGCTGGCCAGTCATTTCCTCGTCAGAGATGTAGACTAACTAGATGAAAGAAAAGAACAGGAATGCGAAAGTTAAAGTGGATGACAAAGTCGGCAAAAATTCTCCCGGACGGGGAATCGAACCCCGATCTCCAGAGTGAGAGTCTGACGTGTTAACCGTTTCACTATCCGGGATAATCTGGACACTGTTGTCCGGATATACACTCAGATCTTACGACCCATGATGCAAACCTGGGGGAACGCTCTTTGCCTTGATTGATCCCGAAAAGCAAGTGTGGCTCGACGAGACGAAGCGCCTTCCCTGCCTTGGGCTGGAGGCGTTGACGGTAGTTTTAGAGGAAGAGGCTGCCTTGCTTCTGCGCAGGTCGAGTTTTCAGATCGCGTCTCTCTCGTGGGTCCGAGTCTCCTCCAAATACGCCGCACGACCTACGCAGCGGAACTCACGAACGTTCCCACCTCATCTCCTCTGCTATAAACCTTCTGTTACTCCTGGAACGCCGCCTAGAAGAGTGCCTGAAGCGAAAGTCAAGTTATCTGCATTGTTGCAGCCAGAATCCGAATTCTAGTCCAGCGTTCGTACCTCACCTGTTGACATCTTTACCCTGCTGCTTCTTACCTAGAAACACGAAAGCTGATATGAATGTGTGATGGAGCAGCGCGATGAACAGAACAACACCAGCGAAGGGAACGATACAAGTGAGTGGGGTCGATCCACCTCCATATTCCTATCCACCACAGCTTCCACCAACTCCTCAATCTCCCACACATCCACAGGACTATCCATGGCCAGAATACGTCTACTCTGCCCACCAGCTCCCTTCTCCCTCCCTGCAGCAACAATCGCCAATGCAAGTAGAGAGAGGGAGCATGCTCGACTCCATCTTTCAACGCATCGCCAGAATCAAACCACAACTCAACTCCACACCTTCTCCCGGCTCACCTCCATCGCCACAGTCACCCCGTTCACCACTTTCAACTCGCTCGCCGCATGCTGATCATGCAGTTTCGTATCATTCTCATCCACAGTCCCTTCCTCTCACAGACTCAAATTCCGGAGGTGCTGGTGTCAGGAACGAAAGACCTGCGTGGTGGCCGTCTCGACAGGCGCAGGAACGGGAACTTGAAATAGGAAGCGACCACCATCCTACTCAGCGCGGTGGCTATGGCACATTGGCGAATATTCCATTTCGACGTACTCTCCCGCAAGATCCTATAGAGGAGGAGGTTGCACCGAATCCATCATACCGTGCGGGAAGCGGAAACCGTCATGCACGCGCTCCTGAGAGAGATGAGGAGAGCGAGGAGTCGAGAAAGTGGAGGTGGGAGGAAACAGAATCAAGAAACGGCGAGTTCCAGAGAAGGCAAGAAGAGAGAAACAGGCATCATGGAATAACGAAACGGAACGGTGTGGGGATGGATCTTAGAACACATTTTGAGCCTGAAGACACGTCAGGGGATTTCGATCTCGCCCTCCGATACGCGATGGAAGGCATGTCATACTCTCCTCCTCCCTCTCCCACGCCACATACTGCGTCGAATCGCTCAGCTGGTGACTTCGACATGGAAGGGGAGGAAGAACAAATGGAAGCGATGAGGAGATTCGAGAGCGATCGAGAGATGGCTTTGAGGATGAGTATGGAGGATGAGGAGATGACTACCACTCTATTGGGGCTAAAGGATGAGGGATTCGAGGTGCCTGACTTTGTTGAACCTCCTCCCGTTCCTCCAAAGGAAAGGAAAGTTAGTTCGGAGTTTGAGATGGCCATGCCAGGTGGATGGCAAGATGAACGCGGAAAGGGTAAAGGGAAAGGTAAACAGAGAGCTGAACAGAGCGAGGAGGAATATCCGGCGCTGTGGACGAGAACCGCGCTGCGTCCTGACAAAGAGCTGGAAGGGAAGGTGAGAGTATTCTCTCCTTTCTTTCTTTCTTGACAATCTAACGATGACCTCGAAGCCGAAAACGACTTGTCAAATCTGCTTCGACCCTTTCATCTCCGTTCCGCAACCCTACGAACAGATGTTTGATTTCATCCCTTTTGCATCTCGACTTACCATCCACTCTCAGCCCCACCTCCACCGAGCTGGGACCTCGAGAGGAACCCAGGAAGGCAAGACCGCTATGGTGGGCTCGATCCTTCCCACCTGCAACGTTGGTCCCCTTTCCCTATCACAGGAAGGATGTACTGACGAAGTAGACCGCTGGTCACTTCAGCATTCATTCTGTATCTCTTGTCTAACGGAATACATCGATTCCAAACTAGCAGATCCTAACCCTTTCCCAATAAGATGCCCATTCCCAAAGGTCATACTTTTTCTTCCGATAAATAATATTAATTGTGTGGCAATGATAGTGCGAAACACGAATTGACGATAGTATGGCGGAGAAGGTACTGGGGAGAGAGAACATGGATGTATGGCACTTTAAAGCATTAGTAGAGAGCACACCAAAGGTATTTCTTCCCTCTTTATCATCCAATATACATGGCTGACGGAAATTCATTTAGATTTACTGTCCTTTCAAATCGTGCTCTCACCCAGTCACCATAGTTGAGGGCACAACAAGGGCCACCTGCCCCAATTGCAGGAAGGAAGTGTGCTGGGCTTGTAGAACCGAATGGCACGACGGCTACACGTGCGCGCAGTTCAAGGTGTGCTTATTCCAGCTTCTCCATCGCTCCTGTACTCACGATCTACATGGAATGGTGACGAAAGAATCTACCGCCTCGAGAGACGAAAGACGATGATGAGACGTTCAGAAGGTTTGTGGCGATGAAGAAGTGGCAGAAGTGCCCACACTGTGGGGTACGCCTTCCTTTCCTCTCTTTCTCATCTCCTGCTTGCTGATGGGACATGAACAGAATGTGGTGGAGAAGAGTAGTGGTTGCGATCATATGTCTTGTCGAGTACGTATTTCTCACATACTTCTTGCCGTTATTCGTTAAGAGTTGGAGCTGATTTCTTCCAAAAGTGCAAGAAGGAATGGTGCTACCGCGTAAGCACTTTTCGCTCTATGCCCACATTCGCTAACTCATGAGGGAACAACAGTGCGGCGGAGATTACAGAAATGGATGTTTGACGAGAGGGTGCAGGTAGTGAACATGCATGATCTTGCATCTGAAAGAAACAAAGCGTCATGAACGAAATGAAACATTTGTTGTAGTAACAATATCTGGCTGTTTTAGGCCTTTGTTGTGCTTGTCCAGTTGATGTTGTATGTCTCCATTTACGCACGTATCAGTGTTCTCCAGACCAGGTTGCAAGCCATTAAATCATTTGAGTTACCACACACACGAAGGAAGCCTCAGGGCAATCTCCGAGTGTTTCGTGTAAGCGGTTGATCCTTATTTGTGTATCACTTCAACTCCAATAGCGAATCTTCCATACCGCAATGCTCCCGATTAACAACACAAATAGATTACTACCACTATACTAAACCAACCAGCCCAATCCAAATCGTCAAAGCGTGTCCGTCCAAAACATAGCAATCCATACACCTCCAGCCCTCCCTCCACACCGCCTCATCCCTCCTTCAAACCCGCGGGTCTCAAATCCGGGCTCCTGCCATCCGTCTTCATCCTATGCCTCGTTTCCGCGCCTTCCACCCTCAACGAGAACCTCTCCTTCTCCTCCTGGTCCGCGTACTCCCGTAAACTCTCGCTCCTTTCCCTTCCATTCGAGGAGTGAGTAGAGGAGGATGAAGAGGAGGAGGAGAGGGCGGAAGTGGGGACGAAGCGGATGGGGAGGTAGTAGAGGAATCCTTGGGAGTCGCTTCCGTTCCCAGTACCTCCTGTGGCGTGAGGGGTGGGACTTGAGGAGGTGGGAAGGGAGATGGGGAGGGAGGAGAGGGTTGGGAGGGGGATTGTGACTGTTGTTGGATTGTTGGAGCCGTTGGAGGTGGGGAAGAGGAGGGAAGGACGGGAGCGACGGGTGAGGTAGAGACGGAGACAGCCTAGGAAGACGAGGAGACTGCCGAGGCGGAGGATGACTTTTCCATTCCTTCCCAAGAAGTTGATGAACCCCGCATCGGAGCTAGATTTGTCAAACGAGAGGGAAAGAGTTAGTATAGACCTCTTTGCTCGGACGAGAAGAAAAAGAAGGAAGAAGAGAGACGCACTCGTGCCAACTGCTGCCATAATAATGTTTCCAAAACGCCTCATCCGCGCTCTCCCCCTTTCCCATATTCTTCCCATACCATTTCCTAGGCAAGACCCTAACTTCCCTTTCCTCCTCCCTCCTGTCTCCCCACCACTCCTCATTCCCTCTCTTAGCTCCATGGGTGTAGGGCCACTGTCCATATTGGAAGGAGAGGAACATGGGGCCGGTGGAGAACATGACGGTGGGATAGTTCGAGCCGTAGTTGCGGTCGAAGGAGGGGAGGTTGTGGATGGCCATGAGCCAGAAGGGATGGGAGGGGATGGAGGACATGATGTCGTTGGAGATGCCGACGGGGAAAGTTTGGGGTAGAATCAATGGCGCGTATCTGGGAGATTATGCGTTCATTAACATGAGATATATGAGTTGGAGAGAGGGAAAGGAATACCTTAAGGGCTCCATGGATCGTTTGCAGCCTACGTCAAGGTCGAGGTAGAAACCCCCATATCGATGGAGGATGAAGTAGCGGATGGCGTCGGCGCGTTGGATGGGATAGGTGTACCCTTCGAAGGTGGAGAGGAACCAGGGGTAGTTGGTACGTATGAAATCGAGCGACATGGCGTCTGTCCACAACTTGTACTCACTAGCCATTCACATCTCAATTCATTCGCCCAAGCACAAAAATAGAAATAGAAGCAAAAGACGTACTAGTTGGGATGCATCCTCCTGCACTCCTCTGAGACAGCCTTGTACTTCTCTGGCAACCTATCGTCCTTCCAAGTCTGATGAATGATCCTAGGCACCAGAGTCTCCTCCTCCGGTTTCTTCGGGAGCATGTACCCCATCTCATCCGCAAACACTCCACCGCCATTATTCGCCGTCTCCTTAACATCCTTCACCTCATACGTGCTCCCCAAGATCCTCTCCCACTCCTCAGTGCCCATCGCGCCCTCCTCGACCCTGTGCTGTTCCTGTGCGAGGGAGACGGGCGGGAGCCGTGCCCAGCCTTCCCACAGCGAGATCTCGGAGGCGACGATGAGGTCGGCGGAGCGGATGCCGAAGAACTGGACGACGGTGGTGAG